ATCAAGTACTTTTTAAATATAAATAAAGATAGAGTTTTAGGGTCCTGATATTGTTCATGCTAGCCCACTGTCACAGTGTCATGACTTACTGGGATGCTTAAATAGTAACTGTGCTTTTTCTTTGTTTTGTTTTTTAACAAAATCTGTCCTCCGTACAAAGCTTGGTAACACATACGAAACAGTAGGCAGTTAGAGCCTCTACATGCCTCTCATGTACGGTGTCATAATCTAAAACAAATTTCACATCTAGGAAATAATCTAAAGAAACACCTCAGTGACAAAGTACTGCAAATGAGTGAGTCTGAAGTTTAGATGTGACGTGATCATTTTCTTAAAGATACTTTCCTCCTTCAGCGGGAGGAGCTCAGGTGAGTTCTTATCTGGACTCCTGGATGATAAAGGTTCAGGACCGTAGCTTATAGTGTAGTCAATTTAATGATAAGGAATGTTATTATCGCAGAGTAAGTTAGTTCCTAATGGATTCACATTATGCGGCAGCCACATGAATGCATTCAAGATGAGCCTTATTTTGTTTCTGTTCAGAAATAGATTGGAAAATTACTGTTTTTCAAGTCATGTCATTTGGCCAGTGGTGGAAGATTTTAGTCACTGATCCTGCATCAGTTCATTATAACAACTTATTTCTGACCCAGTTTGACCTCAGTGGGGTGTGTGTTTGGAAATAAAAGCAAACCAATTCTGCCGGTGGTTCAGGGAGTCAACTGGGTTGGCGGTTCGATCCCCACCTCCTCCTGTCTACATGTGGAAGTGTCCTTGAGCAAGAACCCCAATTTACTCCTGATAGTCAGGCCAGCACCTTGCATGGTCGAGGTCGCCGCCATGAGTGTGTGACAGAGAGGCAAAACTGTAAAGCTCTTTGGATAAAAGCGCTATATCAATGCATTTGCTCTTCAAATCGTCTCAGTTTGGTGTTTGGTTCTCGAGGTAGAGTGTGCGGTCGTGTTTATGTGTGTGTTGGTGTATGTGTATGTGTGTGCCTACTTGTGCCCCTGTGCTGGCAGTTAAATAGATTCTGGCTATTGGCAGACTGGTCGCAGCTAATTGAGTGGCACCAGATGCCAGCTCCACTTTAACATACACTCTCTCTGTATGTGTGTGTGCCCGCACTACCTTTCTGATGAACAACACTCACACACACACACACACACACACACACACACACACACACACACTTTTGCCCTAGAGACAGTGTAATTGGCTGTTGTGGGTACCCTCTAGTTTGGGTTTTAGACATAAAACCCTCCAGAAACCCGCTGGAAGCTTCTAATCCTGGCTGAGAGCTGGGACTGTATTAGCTCCTTTTTGGCACACACACACAAACAGTATGTAGAGAGACAACACACACACACACACACATGCAGAACACAAAGACGTTTGGATGCAGAGTCATATTGACACACACAAGTCCAGACGTAACAACGACCCACTTGGACACACAATGACACAGACATAAGCTGTGTCACAATTGAAGTCTACGTAGAGTATTGAAGTGGGATTGAAGTTATTTTGGGTGTTCAGTGCTTCTGAGGAAAAGGTCCTGTTCATTGTCTAAATGTCAAAAGAAAAAGGTTGTTTTTTTTTTTACATTGAGGTGTTGACCTACGCTAGCGGTGCTGGTCGGTCAGTCGTTCGACCCACCACTTTTAGCCCAGACTGAATTAGTAAGTATTGGATTTATTCCTTTGAAATTTTTGACTTTTAAACTTTGGGGATCCCCTGACACCATCATCAGCTCAAAGTTTCAATTTGTCCGATACTTTGGTTTATTCATCAAACAGTTTGGTTTTAATACAATGCAAAATACCATCTCACAGAGCGCTAGCGTGACTGCAGACACCAAGCAGTTGCGCATGGCTCTTTGCCGCATGATGGCTCAACTTTTTCAACTGGTTGCCATGCCTCGCCATGTGACCACGGCAACCACTGAAACTATAGAGAGGGTAGTAGCAGATTTTACAGATATTTGAGTTCCCTAAATTATTCAGCAATTCATCAGCAGAGGATAGAGGTAGTGGAGCAAAATCATCTTCAAAGTTTTTCCGGTCTAGGACAATAAACAACGTTTAGTTAACAAAACTTGCAATATTAATTGTGTCATTTTGTGAAACGTTTCCTCTTTTTTAAGCTACAACCCGCTCTATTTATCTGCGTAATGAGATTACAGTAGATGAATAGCAGCTGCCTGTGGAGTACAGACGGTAGACGGAGGTAGATGGTGGTGGCGCTGAGCCCTGCTGCCGCCGATCCAAAGTACAGAACGCCAATGTTGCCGCGGCAACCGCTCACTCTCTGAAAGCACCTTCAATATCGTTTTCACATTTCCAGTATTTCCCCCTAGGCTTTTTGATTTTCAAATTACAAGGTGGATGGAAACATGCTTAACATAGCCAGGATGCACCTCAGTCTATACAGCGGCACACACACACACACACA